GCTGTGTGGCGCTTACCTTCAGCGGAGACCGGAGACGTGAACGAAGGGGAGCTTAGTTAAAGTCAAGGTCAGAGGAATTCCAGACTGTCTAAGAAAAGGAAGCAAAACCTGGTTGTGAGTCATGAGCACAGGGGGCAGAGGTCAATGCTGTAATAACCCCCCCTCCCCGCCTCTTCCTTCTCGTGTCTCCTCATTTCCCTTTTCAATGAGCACACCGCATAAGCTATAAGCTATCTTCGATAAGCCCGTGCGCGATGGCACCTCAGAGCAACCCCCCCCCCCCAATTTGGTTGGCCTCCCCACTGCCCCCACCCATTATGAAGATGCTGGTGCCATCCCTGCCCCCTATAGTTGAAATGATATTAAAACAGCACAAAAAAAAAAAAAAAGACGAAGAGAACACAGACACAGCACTCACTTACAACTGAAAATTTTTCTTCTGCATGGTACAGTAAGTAAACATAAAAAGAAGCAGATAGATATTATTTCAAAATGACCAACCAACTAGCCCAACTACACAATTTGTTGCAGCCCTTCTATGGCCCTGAATTCATTCCTTACCATGAGAAAAGTGATGATGTTTCAAGCATCTCTGCAGATCCCTTTATTTCTAAAGCTATTTGGCATATACCACAAAATCCCGAGGTATGTACTTCCCAGTCAGCAACATTCACTTGTATCCCGCCACAGCTAACTAGCCGCATTTGTGCCAAGGCCATCACTGATCCCAACACTGCTATTACTAGAAGTGGGCTATCTTTCAGAGTTTAAAAAAATAAAGCAAATCAAGCCAAAAATAGGGGTGGGCTACCTCTTGAGATTTTACAGTAGAGCATTATGACACATCAAAATGCAGGCACTGAGATGCTCTTTAGAAATAAACAAACTGAATTAACGCATCAGAAAGGTTCTATTGGCTGGAATTGCACATAGGGGAAAAGGGACACTAACTGCCGAATTCACAAACCTTTATTCCAATGGAGGCAATCCCCCCCCCCCCCCCCTTTGTCAAGGAAGGCACAAGGGACGGCACTGGCCAATCGCGAGGACGGCTAAGCAGCCTAGGCCGCCTATCCGTCGTCGCGACTGGCCAGCACCGGCCCTCGCACCTTCCTTGAGGAAGTGGAGGGGTGCCTCAATTGGAATGAGGTTTGTGAATTTGGCGGTAACTTAGCTAGTGCTAGGGTCCGGCAAATTGGAGACATACACCTCCCCACTGGCCACAGGCTCCACCTGTGGACTTTGAAACGTCAGAATGGGGCACAGCACCCACCAAGGATAGAATTACCATAAAGTTTTGCGAGTGCCTTGCCGAGCGCAAATGCAAGGCGCTGGATGCCGCGGACACGGCACACGTTGTACTGGTCGGTAGCCAGCTTGTCGAGGTTGACAATGTTGCCTCGGTTGAGGAACAGGTGCTGAAACATCAGCGAATGAATTAATTAATAGCATAAAACAAAGCTGGGTTGTGACCACTCCTTGGAACCACACAGGACACATGTGTCTAACTTGGAAGCAGTCAATAAACATTATAGGTTTAGGTAGGGGTCAGTATTTTAGACCTAATTGTGCAGCTATTTTTTTGTGTGTGGATGTGTGCGTGCAGGGGGTGGGGGTTGTTAACTCATTGACAATGTTTTATGGGGCTGGTTGCTCATTATTGGGGTCCACCTTCGTTTAGTCAGGGGAGGATCTAACTGTAAACACAGACATTAAGGTGCAGTACTTGGGCTCGCCTTCTGAGTTAAATTTCTGTTTTCCTTCGGGACCGGTTCTCGTGTGCCGAGTTCACTGTGATTTTAAGAAGTGACTTGGACAGTGTCTTATCAAAAATGTTTCAGAACTTCCCAATGCATAGAGGCAGTTTCAAACTCTGTCAGAGTTTAAAACTGCCTTCTATACATGTTACTTTCACAAATGGTATACTCTTTTTTTAATCTATCTTGTTATATTCCTGACATATTTTCCTGTTTTTTGGTTTTTTAAACTTTCAAGGAACTTACTGTCTACAACTGTATCCATCGCTGAGTGCTCATAAAAGAACAGGTGTAATAGAATACATTTCACTGAAAAAGAAAAAAGATAAATTTTCTGGTGTATATTAACTGATAAAAACCAAATATTGGATTTCGAAATAAAAACCGATAAATGTAGGCCGAATTTGAAAAAAAATAAAAAACGAAAACTCTGATCTTGTTCAGTGTTTTCGAAGTTAATTTTTTTTGCTCAAATTCGGGGGTATTTCTTTTTCAATGTTTAATTTTTCCCACAGATTCTGTGTTTTTGTGTAAATTGGTTGAAGTCATAACCAATTTACACAAAAAAAAAAACAACGAATCTGCACAAAAAATTACCCCTCCCCCCCTTCCTCCCAAAAAAAAACAATTTGAGGAAAAAAATACTCAGAAAACACAGAACCCAAGTTATCGGTAGGTTGTGACTTTCCAGTTTTAACCTAAAAATACTGAGAAACATCCGCCGATGACGAAAATGCAAAATTGGTTATAACAGAAAAACACAGTTTTTGGGGACGATTTGGCGCTAGGCGATTACTATTTTGGTTGAAACCCCGAATTCTAGGCATTTGCTGAGCCTGTTTTGCTACCAAGAATTAAGCAAACTGGGGTCTCCAATCAGTGGGATCGCTGACCCTGGAGGACAAGGGCCCGAGAGGTCAGTCAGACGGTTACTACCAACAGTCACAACGCCCTTGTTGATTCATGTCAGAGGACGGCAGATAAGAAAGCAACTTGTCCCAAACCAATTTTTTTTTTTCACCGATCATCTCTGTTTTTAGCGTCTACATCAGACAACAAGTCGAAAGCAGGGTTGTACAGTATCGCAATACAAATGTATTGCAATAGTATTTCAGAAATACATTTAGTGTCTGCAGTTCTCTATTGCAACACTTTTTTTTCACCAGTATCTGTATTTCTGTATCGAAATGCATTTGGGATGTTTCTCGGTACTGCAATACAATCAAGACGGGATGTATTTCGTTACATTTCTTGAGAAATAACCCCCACCTCTGGATAAAAAAGATGACAACTTTTTTGTTTTGCTAGAGAAGGCCAGAGGGCATTATGAGGGGTATGTTGTGCCTTTGCTATCATGCGAAACTATTTGTGTCGGACATTAGCAACCCCTTTCTTTATTCTGCAAAACTGAAGAATGTTTTCCACCATGCTTCTGCCCCCCCCCCCCCCCCCCACACAAAAAAAAGAAAAATCTGGACGTCTTTTTTTTTTTTTTAAGGGGACGCGGGGCATTGTTACTATGCTGACCAAGGTTCATTCAAATTCCCAGAAATATTTGTCTATGCGACCTCTTCTCTATTCTGCGAAGATAAGAAATGTGCTGTGAGTGGCACATTTCTTAATGAAAAAATGTGGTTCCGAACTGTGAAAGCAATGTTTCTTTGATTTAATATGAACCTGTATACCTCAACAACTGTTGAGCAGCTATTTTTTTTTTCTTTTGCCAACATGACGTTGCGTTTGAATGGGCAACGGCTCACAGGTGGGCTATTTGAGAAGCTCCTGCTCCTCAAGTGTAACTGAGTTTAGCACTTGCATGTTTTTCTTTTGTATCGCTTCAGTGTAAAATAACAGACAAAGCAAGAACAATTTTTATTGCACCTCCCAACTAATTTGTTGCCTATGATATGACAGTTGGCACCTCAAGCAAATTGGAAAAATGTATTTCAGTATCTGTATTTCTGCCATCCCTAAGAGGTATTCCTGCATTTGTATTTCCAAATACGTTTTGCTCCTTGTTAAAACGCATTTCCGATGCATATCAGAATAATTTTTACAGATATATTTAAGTATCACTATTTTAGCTATTTTTATGTATCCCAGCATTTGTATTTCCAAGTACATTAAGTATTTTGACCCAACCCTGGTCGAAAGACACCAATGTTTGAAAAATAAATAAACAATGAAAAACATCCGCCGATTTTTCTCATAAACAAACACCGGAGGATATACGGCCTAGTTATAGGTTATTTATATTTACTAAGTAAAATTCATTTTGGGTGTGTTTGTGGTATAAAAATACAATCAAAACCCAATGTAGCTCCTTAATGTTTTCAATTAATCAATAAACTGAAAACAAAAAATAAAGCCTTTTTTTTTTTTTCTTTAGATGAGTGGAGACTGTTGTGAAGAGGCCACTGAGGCTTTGTTACCTTGCGGACCAGGATCTGATCAGAGCATTTTGTTTTTGTCCATGAGGACCCTCAGGGTATAATTAATTGATTATGTAACCTCTTAACGGCTTATGAAAAGCTCAGCTTGCCACGAGTTATGTGCCATTTTGTGGTTTATGACGAGTGCACCTCATCACGTACTGCTTTGTGCCTTTTGCAAGGTTTGCAACAAGGTCAGTGAATAAAAACAGTGTGAATTATCTTTATGATAGAATAATAAATAAAAGAAACTTTCGTATAAGGTCTGCTTAAAAAATGTAAAGCATTATAAGGTTAATCAACAGGCGATGCTATTTTCTATTTTAAAAGAATAACAAATGTTTTCCTTGAAACTTCATCTAGATTCTGAACATCTAAGGCACTGCAAGCACAAGCTTTACAGGTGTGCTCTGCACTTCCGTGCCATATCGATGGATGGGAGCAGAGTTTATGCTTTCAAATACTATCAATAGATAAGAGAACAGCGATTCCTTCCATTGTGACGTCACAAGATCATTACTGAAAAGGCGACCTCACCAAATCAGAGCATGGAGGCACCTCAAGATAATTTAGGAGGACCAAAAACTGATCTGGAGATGAAGTTGGCATTAACAATTGTGCAAGCTGGTTGACCATAGTAAAAGAAGCGATGCGTAAAGCATGGACAAAGATTAGAAGACAAACAAACCACAGAACACCATTTTTATCAACACCTGTCGAGAGCGTATTTACAGCCGCTAAAATAATGCTCCACAGCCCTCCACCCAAATCGACAGGTGCTAACTGATTGAACATCACTTGAAAAGCTCATCCACAAATGCAAGTGAGTTCAGCAATTGTTCTTTTGGTCTGTGTTGCTTGCATACTATATGTAAAAAGTAATATACATGGCTGGAGTGATCTTTCTTGATATCGTTAATACCTGGTTGTCAATAACACAGAAGACGACATTTACAATATCTCAAAGTATGTATAACGTGATACCAATAGCAGAGCTAGCTGTAGAATTCTCTGGAAAGAGTGGCACCTGCACAAGGCAAGCTTGAAGGTTCTGTCAAACTACATTAGTGATGGGTGTTACCTTGTAGAATCGAAAGGTGCAGCTTTGTTTTTGCAAAGCATTAGCAACCTGTGTCAGGACGCAGATGGCCGAAAGCAATGTTTGGTGCTTCTGTTGGGAGATGGAGCGACGTGCTGCAATTAGAAAAACTCGTGATGGCGAGTCCGACGAGGCTGAAGATAATCTTGCTGTAACACAGCTTTCTTCTAATATTTTCACAGACGTTGCTGAGCGAGCGCGTACGTGGCCAAATGGTTACTGCACTTGATTGTAGCGCAGAAGATTTGGGTTTGATTCCAGGCAGTGGAATGTTCTTTTATTTATTCTTTCTACTTGGCGTTCTCGCAAATTCGAGAAATTGCTTGTCTGGCCGAACTACGAATATTCTACGCACTGAAATGTCTAAGCCGAATGTTCCAGAGACCCACGCCAGAGACCCACGCGACTACAAAAGAGACTCCGCATGGTGAGCTAAGTCAGACTCTTCCCAGCGCTCAATCCTGCTGTTTTGACGCCTGCGACGCTAGCCTTTCTCTATTTTGTTTTGGGCACAAGTTCGCCCCATTAAGCGTTTAGTTTCTTCACTTATTCGCCGCCTCACCATTTGTTATTTGTGACAATACAGTATAGCCATGCACGCAGACATAAAAGCCACAACAGAAAAACGCAATTGGGGTCGACACACCCTGCCGTAGACCCGCTGCTCCACAGTGCAGTCTACTTTCCGTGATGTGCTCTGCCATCTCTCAACATGAGAATGAAATACAACCCTCGGCCGTCAACATCAGCATTCATAACTGAAAATCTTGCATATATTCTTCCGATTTTTCGAACAAACAAATCAGTGCCTTTAACTTTCACATGGTAACATCCACCACTGCAATACACCTGTGACAGAATATGAAGCTTGCTACACCCAGACTATAATGTTTTGCTTCATTTTATAGCAAACCCCGCTACTGTGGCAACCTACATTTTGGGATCTGTTTTGTTTCATCGACAGACATCTCATCGACAACTTTTAATCAAACGACATATTGACATACATTTCGTCGACACCAGGGGCGGATGCAGGAATTTCCTGAGGGGGGGGGTCAGGTGTCGGTCAGCGTACCATATGTTTAGGGACCCCCTCCCCCTCTCCTTCGTTTTACGTCCTAAAATTTACACAAGCAGAAATCAAGAGGGGGGTCAGGACATTCGGACCCCCCTCTAAATCCGCCCCTGGTCGACACTGACATGTCATCGACAATCGTTACGCTAACTGTACGATGTTGTGATGTTTCGTTGTGTGTGTCACTGGGGCACGCATTAACTTACCTGGCCCGCCCGTCTACGTCATTTGCAGCAACCGTCTGTGGCGGCTCACTACAGAAATATTAACACACCAGGCCTGTCGTAGCAGTTGTTCAGGTATAACAAGAACAGTTTATTGCGGGTTAAAGGCAATACGTGTAGTCAGCGACACACAGCCATGTCCTCGCATGGTTGTGCCGTTCTCCCCCGTCCACTGGCCTCCCGGAGCGAGAGTACTCCGCGCGTAGGCGCGTCACGGCACAGCAGTCGGCGGTCGCTCGCAATGCCACTCACGACACCCCCCTTTCTTAGGAGTAGGGAGCCGCGCTACAAGTCCAACCTGTACGGTGGTCTGCTTGGTCGTCCGCTCCTAGTGACCGCCGTTGGCTGCATGTGACTCCCGGTGCGTTGTGTTAGTCCTGTCGATGTGCTTACAATGTAGGACCTTGGTTGGGCTGCTGGCCGTGTCACTGTACCGCAGGATGCCGGACCACTCCGTTGCTTTTTCCACCTTCTTGATGACTCCCATTTCTTTCATCCTTTCCAATTCATTCTCCACTTGTGAGAGCAGTGGAAGAGGAACTCGCCTTGGGTATGTAACGGCATAGGGCTTGGCGTCATCCTCACAAGGCCCACCCACTGATCTCCACTAGAGGGGGCTGGATGTATGCGCATTGAGCAAACAAGTATGAAGCCACTGGAGGTGAGCAGCTTGTCCCGGAAGTGAGTGCTTGGCAGGCTTTGTAACCCTTCCGAGTGCTGGTTCGAAAAGCGTCGAGGGCGCTGGATTTTCGCTTGTTCTCTCAAGAGAGTCTGCTTGTTGCACAGTAAGAGTGCATGCAGACCCGAGAAGTATCATGGGAAGCCATTCAATGTAAACATTTTGAGATTCTAGTTGATCAAGTTGTGAATATGTCTCAAGTTCAAATGCCTCATTCTCAGGATTTAATCCAGAACGGGAGCATTAAAACCCAATCAAAGAAACAAAAAAGCATGGTCCAAAATATCGACTGAATGCACTAGGAAGCTTCCGGGACAAGAATCGAACTTCCGGTGGCTTCACTTGCGCCAGGCTCGGAGAGCAGCTAAGCGCCATCCAGCCCCCTTTAGTAGAGATCAGTGGGCCCACCCACTCGAGCTGCTTCGCGGCAACATTCTGCGGGGAGTCACTACAGAAAAAAAGCTTATCTGAGCTGTCGATGTAACAAACTGTCGATGAAACGAACTGTCAATGAAACGTCGTTCAATGAACTGACTGCCCCCCATATTTCAGTATCAGGATTTCTCCTTCAAACAAAACATATTTAAAGATACTTTGTCACCCATTTTTTAGTCATACATATTTGAATTGTTTTGCAATGCTCCTTTTATAAATGTATTTTAGTATCAGTACTTTAGCTGTCACTGCTGTGTATTCCAGTATTTGTCATTTCAAATGCTTCTTAGGTTATATCCGCCCAACCTTGTCACTCAATGAACAGCATTCCAGAGGCATGTCACATGTCACATGTAACTCAAAAGGAGCATGTCACATGTAACTCAAAAGGACAGTGCACCAGGGGTGAAAGTTCCATGTACTTACGTCAGTCGACATTCACGATGGTAACGCCGAGGGCAACACCTTTTTGTACTAGTAGGCGGTTCAGGGACAGCCTCTCATCCTCCCTGGCATGCCCGAAAGGCCCACCTCGTGGCACCAACATGAATACGAGCACGTAGCTCGTCAAGCCTTTCAGGGTGGTCACAAGCTCCTGAAAAGTGGAAAGGACATAGACTTATGCAGAGGACAAAGCAAAACGACCGTAAAATCCCGTAAGAATGTCCACCCAAAATGAAGAGATAAATTGGGAAAAACGTGGGGTGGGCTATCTTTGGGAATGCGACAGCAAAAATTTATTTAAAGAAACGCGATAAGCAACTGGGCTATCCGCTACAAACCACATAAAACGGGAACTGATACCGCGGATTGCGGACACGGCATATTTGCGTTTTATGATGTGATGTTTTATGATATGAACACGTAAGACTCTGCTACGACATCCTAAGTCATGGTAAAAGGGGTTGAACACGCAGCAGATTCACTTTGCCGTGTTTTCAGGATTCTAACGCGCAGGCTGATTTAGCTTTCAGATATTGGCCGGTTCTACCGCGCAGGTAAAGTAATGAAGATTGAACACATACCTTATAGACGGGTTTTATGAAACGAACGCCAACAAAAAATAAATGCCGTGCACTAGTCGCCGTTGTCACAGTGCGACGATGTTTCTTCGCTGTCCACAGAGGTGAGTGCGCGTCGTCGGCTTTGGGAGGGTCGTCTTCCGAGCACGCTTTGCGAGCTCGTCGGGTCGCTGGGATTGCGAGGCCACGCAGTGCTACTCCGTTCGTTTTGCCATGACTCCCGTTGAAACAGTTCAAACATGTGGTGCCTGTGGTTTAACCTGTGGTTCAAACAGTTCAAACACGCCGCTCCGGCAACCTGAGAACCGTTGAAAACAGCAAGGCCAGGGTGGCGCCAGTGGGCAAGTCAGTCATGATGTAGGATGGTCGAGAAATAAACCAGTTAGCTGAGTTTGAGACGTCCCTTTTTGTGTCTGATCCTTCTATTAAAAAGTTTCCAATTTCTTCGACCACAGTCTCAGGTATTATATGACATGATTATCATCATCATCACTACCATCCGAACGGATTCCCTACGAGCGGTTTTTCCCTACGCTGGCGTTGTCCCCAGATCTAGGCACGGGCAGATCTCTGGATAGGCGCTCGCCTGAAGCGACGCCTCTCATCGCCGCATCGCAGCTGAGCGAAATTCAATGAGATATGTTGCGCTACAGCGACAGCATGGGACTAGTCCCATACGCCGGTATGCCTGTTGGGAAGTGCAGCGAGTCTTGTCACCACCCCGTCATTGTTGGCAGAAGGGCCGGCCCGTGTCAGTCGTTTGCAAAGCGACGTAGATGGCGTTTTTCGCGGCCTCGGAGATGCAGGAGCGAGCCGACGTTAAAAAAGATACGTTTGAACTACGAGTGTCAGCAAGAGCCACGTAAATACCTGTTTACACTCGGAGCGGACGCGCGCGCTTGATGGAAGTCTTGTATTCGCGCTGTTGGTAAGCGCTTCGGGACCGTTCTTTTACGATTGCAACTCGATACTGACGCGACACTCGGCAAAGAAAGGTTGGACCGGGGTCGACAGTGACGCGCAGTCTGTCAGAATAAAAATGGCATACCAATAACAAAGTGCACATACCGTGTTACGAAGGCAATCCATACGGCGTTTATTTCAGCTCTATATCACACAAAACAAGAAGATAGAATCGACGAGAGTCCCTTTTCGACGAGTGTTCGTCAACACTGCCTCGGAAAACAAGGGGAAGAGATTACCTCCTCACCTCTTAATCTAGAATTGAGGTCAGTGATCAAACTATAATACGGGAAGGGTCCACAAGGGTCGCGCGGGCATATTCCATTTAGCACGCCAGCCGGTCGTAGGCAGACGGTCTTGCGACGAAGCAACGCAGCGCCGAGTCGGAATGCCTGCTAGGCCTATACGCTTCGTCGGAGTCGGTGAATCCAGCGTTCTTGTTCGTCGTGGTCTGTTTTAAGTACTGTTTTCTTGCTGCTTGAAGTCGGCACGCGCGGGAAGAACACGTAGAAAAATAAACGTTCAGTCAGTCAGAGTTTTGAGAGGAAGGAAAACAAAGAAAATAAATGTTCGTCGGTCGCCGTCACCCAAGTAACTGGCGGCCCTGGCCCTGCCCTACTGCGCACGCGCAGTAGTTGCTTCGTTTACCACACGATAGATGGCGCTTGGCTCTCAGCATTATCAAATTTGGCAATTTTCGCCACACATCTCTAATTATGCTACAAAATGTGGATCTGAATATTATTTAACAAAACTTTTAGGAAACATTCGCCGGCTATTTATTGTTTACGATCGCGGTGCTGGTGAGGTAGGCTCTTACCCAATAGGCGATGTGGATTCGGCTGACGTGCACCGATTCTGCGTATGCATCGTAGTGAACAGGCGAAGGAAGGAAGGCGCAAAAGAGTCCAGTTTTCTTTTAAAAGTTCTATAGCAAATAATTTTTTTGGGCTCCCTATTTTTGTGTTTTTGTGTTTCTTTTCACACCTTTTACGACGTGCGGTGGATGAAACTCGATTTTAAAATCATTTCATGGTCCCTTTAAACTACTCGTTTTTTGCATCTTGAATAGCACTTTTGTAAACTGCACTGGCGTTGTGATAAGATTCCCGGTGGCACCGGTTACAGGTACTGGAAGATTTAGCGGCACGAAACAATATCTTTTTCTTGTTCGATAGCCTTCTCAGTGATGGGTTATACCATGGTGATTGATGGTGAGACGTTACAGATCGCAGTGGAATATACTTGTCGGTGAGAACGGCGACTTGACCCTTAAACATATTCCAGTTCTGTTCAACGGAACGCTCGCAGCAGTTAACAAAATAGTGATCAACGAACTGACTCAGGGCATCGTTTATAGCGTCCTAATGAGCTTTTCGGTAGTCTTGAATAAGTTTTATCTGTTTGCTACTATTACACTTTGGTATGCTTAGAGAGATAAGTAACGAGCAGTGATCACTTAGTCCTGGTCGGCGAGATATTAGGGATACAAGGTCAGGTGTGGAGGTTAGAACAAGGTCAAGAACATTTGCTGACGTGGCTGCAAATCTTGTGGGTTCTGTAAATAGCTGCGATAAGTTAAAATCGGAACACATGTTCAAGAAATCAAAACACTCCGACGAAGCTGGATTAGGAAACGGGCTCTCGTGTGATCAACAGATGTTTGGGTAATTAAAATCACCTAAAAGAACTTCACTTCAAGTAGATTGCACCCAGTGTACTTCCTACTTTACTTAAAGTATATCACGTCTCATTTAATTAGTACTTTACTTGAAGTACCTTTTAGATGTACTTTACCCAAAACTGGAGCAGCTCTACTGCAAGATTAGCCAACGGGAGAAAGGCGTGCTGAAGCGTAAGCGTCAATGTCTCTCACGTCCATGGAGCAGCGATACAGCCAGGCAGAAAAGGAAGCATTGGCTGCGACGTTGGGTGTGGAACGCTTCGACCAGTTCGTGGGAGGCATCAAGTTCGAAAGAGAGAGACCGACAACCGTCCACTTCTCGCGCTCTTGTGTGAGGGACCGTTCCTCCTAAGCACCCCAAGGTCATCTTTGTTTCATGAAAATATTGATATGCACCGACTAAAAGTTTAGTATTTGATGACATAAGAAATAGTGGGTCAACAAACCCTGGCAGCACAGATGTCCCATACACATCCACAGAACGTCCCGGGAACGTCAGGACATCCTGAGGATATCCGGAGGACCATGTGTGCGCGTTCTGCGTGCCGCCTCCACAAAAAACGTAGATCCGGACTCGCGAATATCAGCATCTGATTCGCATCCCGTAGCCCCTGGCATCCGTATCCAATCCGTAGTATATCTGATCTATTTTTATCCGCCAGTTTACTGCGGACACACATGTATACACGTTACCCAAAAAAGTAACTAAATACCGTAACTCGTTATCGATTCTCAAAAGAAACGAGTTATGTTAAAAGTAACGAGTTACTTTTCACGTCACTTTGACGACACAACTGTTTTTGTTTCATGGTTTATTACTCTCATACTGCATAGTAGTTGTTTTTCGAGTTGCCCATCTGCCTTTGTCGCAATAGTTACTCGTTACTCGGCCTTAAAAGTATAAATACGTTACTCGGTACCGAAATAGTAACTAGTTAGAAGTAACTTGTTATTGTAACGCGTGACGTACATGCCTGACTGCGGATATCCGCGGATGAGCTGACATCTGCAGCATAAAGGCCGGTTCTCCCATGCAGCGAAGCGCTGCTCTCGTGTCGTCAGCTACTTATCGTCTGCCACGAGCAACAGTTTTGACGGTGCGATACCAAGCTGGTGAACGCTCCCGTCAGAGCGCTAAAGAAAAAGGCATAGACAAATAACACATTGCACAATTTTTTTTTTTCTTCTTACGGATAAGGCGACTGCGTGCAGCGCGTGCACCTTTCCCAGTATTTTTCTTGATGCTAGTGTTCGAGGCGGGGTTTAGGCCGCACGTCCGGAAGCTTCCTGGCTCGAGACGACGTCCATTCCCCGAAGTGAAGAACCCAGGGGTCCAGTGGAGGTGGGAGAATTGGTAACGTAACGAACGGTTTAATTACATGGTTGCGATACAGTCGTCAAAACAGAGAGAACAACGGAGCAGCCTCGCGCTCCGCCTTATATAGGGTCCGTTTCTCCCTCACTCTCCGCCAGGGCAGCCAGTGCGATGCAGGAACCCGCCGTCAAGTGCGACGCAGAAAAGTCCGCCGTCCAGTGCGACGTAGCCAAAGTTCTCCGCAGTTAGGCCATGCCTCTCTCCCTTTTCCGAGCGCACCAACCACCACGCACACACACACACGTCCCGCCAACGTCACGGGCGCGTTGAGACTTGTTGCCGCAGGCCCCGTCACGCAGGCGACGGTCCCAGACTCGTCGGGACTCGTTTCGCGCAGGCCCCGACAAGCGGGCGACGGTCCCGGACTCGTCTTGACTCGTTTCCGCAGCGTTGAAACGCGGAAGAAGGTCGCCGAAGGTTCCATTCTTAACAGCCCCTCCGGGGCCAGGGAAACCTCGAATGGCCGGTGGTACTATCGCTGGCCTGAAGAGGTGGGCTTGGAGTAGGCCTTGAGAAGATGCTGCAAGCACTAAGCAAACTCCCAAACCTCTCACAACGGAGGCATGAGCGGAACCGTCCCCCACAACACCACGCCACTCCGCAGTCAAACGCTCGGAATCCGCCAGAGACCCGCCAGAGACCCGCCAGACTGGATTACGGATTACCAAAATTTGCCAAAACAATGCAATTTAAAACCTTAGGACAATTTCGGGTATCGAGACCCGCTGTCGCCAAAGCAAAACTCATTTTTCCAAAGAGGTCACTATGAACAAAATACAAAAAGACAAAACTTCGCAATTTGTGAGGTCATTTTGGGGTTTTAACGAAGTGTCCCCACTTTGATCCTCATTCCCGTGGATGACGAAAACCTCTGAGATCATCCCTACTCTTTTTGGTGATATCAGAAAAATCTGCTCAACCCATTGGCATTGCTGTTAAATTTGCCTTTCCTCTTTCTTACGCTGAAGTCATAGTGATCGATTTTCACGTGATTTCTAGACGTGAAAATGCGGTCCTTATAGCGCCGATAAAACAATCCGCCTTTTTCATGCCCTGTCACATTGGTCCTGGCAATCTCCTGAGCTGTACCGCGAAACCCTGACACACTAGGGTCGCTCTTCTGCTCGACTGTCAAAGACACTCTGTCTACTCGTAACAGACGACCAAAGTTACGTGACGCCGGAGCTACGAGAGATCCTTTGATGATCCCGTCTTCCTCCGCCTTTTTCGCCGG